TGATGGGAAAAGGGGGAGTTCTAATCAAGCTGAAGAACGGAGACCACAAGTTTATTTCCGATGTATTCTATGTGCTGAATATGAAGAACAATTTACTCAGTATGGGCTAACTTCTTGAAAGGGGTATGATCTGCGCTTCTCTGGTCATCAACTCCTAATCTTTGATAAAAGAAGTGTATTTATCCTTAAAACCTCTATGACAAATAATCGCATATTTCGAGTTGACATCCAGAATGATGTTTATCATTGCTTCAATGCTATTATGGAAAGATAAGTCTTGATTGCGACATCTTTGGTTTGGACATTTAAACTTTCGCAGTCTGAAGTTTCGCACAAAGAAATTTGGTGAGAGGCTTGCCCGTGATAGATCATCCCGAACAGTTGTGTGAAGGTTGTATTCTTGGAAAGCAACATGGATCATCCTTTGGTATTGACAAAGAAGCCTCTTAGGCTCGTTCATTCAGATGTGTGCGGTCCTATGAACACTATATCCAATGGCAATAATTGATATTTCCTTACTTTTATTGATGGTTTCACAAGGAAAATATGGGTCTACTTTTGCAGTAAAATTTTAAAGTCTTTGAGTATTTTAAGAGCTTTAAAGCCCTAAATGAGAAGGAAATCGGTTACTTTATCAAGGTGTTACGAACAGATGGAGAAGGTGAATATACTTCTAATAAATTTAATAAGTATTGTGCAAAAGAAGTAATAAAGCATGATGTCACTTTTCCCTATACACCTCAACATAACGGCGTCGCTGAACGAAAAAAACCTGACGATACTTGACATGGCGAGAAGCATACTACAGGCCAAAGGTATGCCAAATTGTTTTTGGGGTGAAGCTATCTCATGCACTGTATACTTGTTGAACAAATCACCAACAAAGTATGTTGATAATGTTACTCCTGAAAAGGCATGGACTGGTTATAAGCCAAGTGTAAGACATCTCAAAGTGTTTGGCTTCATTGCTTATGCTCATATTCCAGCAGAAAGAAGAAAGAAATTTTATGATAGAGGAGAGAAGACAGTTTTTTATTAGCTACAAGCGTAGGGGCTACAAACTCTACAATCCTACTACAAAGAAGATGATTGTAAGCAGAGATGTTATGTTTGCTGAAGAAGAAGCTTGGAATTGAGATCTAGAAGCACAAAATGATTCACGACGTACTCTCCTTGATATTCTTGAAGACGAGGTCCTTGTTGTAACTGAAGAAGCACCACCAGCCAATGCTCTTGAAGCTCCAACCCCGCAAGTTCTATTAGAAGTTGAAAGACCAAGAAGAAATCGCCAACCATCAGTTCTCTTGAGAGATTATGAAGTAACTCCAGATGATGATGTTGATACAGATGGAGATATAGTGCACTTTGTAATGTATGCAAATTGTGAGCCAGTTATGTTTGAAGAGGCTATTCAAGACAATAAGTGGATAAATGTGATCGATGTGAAGTGGGTTTTCAAAATAAAGATTAAAGCGAACGGCAAGGTTAAGCGGTATAAAGCAAGATTGATGGAGAAATGCTACGAGCAAAGGCCTGATTATAATTACCAAGAGGTATTTTCTCCTATTGCTAGAATTAAAACTGTTAGATCAATAATTGCCCTGGCTGCATAGAAGCATTAGACTATTCATCAATTGGACGTGAAGTCAGCTTTTCTTAATGAGCCACTTGAAGAAGAAGTTTTCGTGAAGCAGCCACCTGGATTTGTGAAGAAAGGATACGAGCATAAAGTATACAAGTTTAAAAAAGCCTTGTACGGGCAGAAGCAGACGCCGTGAGCATGGAACAAAAGAATTGATTCTTTCTTTTAAGAAAGTGGATTTCAGAAGTGCTCCTCCGAACATGTCTTATATGTGAAGATAAACAACTCTGATCTTGACTTGATATCTTATTTTCTTGGTATTGAAGTAGTTCAAGGAGATGATGGGATTTTCATATGTCAAAGGAGGTATTGTGCAGAGTTGTTGAAGAGGGTTCAGATGTTTGATTGTAATCCTATTAGAATTCCTGTGGAGGTTGGTACTAAATTATCTCGAGAAGGTGATGGTGAGGAAGTTGATCCTACATATTTTAGACAAATTGTTGGGAGTTTGAGATATCTCACATGCACAAGGCCAGATATAACCTATGGAGTTGGTTTAATCAGCAGATATTTGGAGACCCCTTGCCAATCTCATCTACAACTTACAAAGAGAATTATGCGGTATCTAAAAGGGACTTATGATCATGGTTTGTTTTATTCTTCAGCTAACAATTGTGATGTTGTAGACTATTCTGATTGTGATTGGAGTGGAGACCATGATGATCGTAAAAGCACTTCTGGCTATGTCTTCATTTTTTGCACCACTGCATTTTCATGGTCGTCGAAGAAGCAGTCTATTGTTGCACTCAACTTGTGAAGTGGAGTATGTAGCAACTACGTCGAGTGCTTGTCAAGCAATTTGGTTACGCAATGTGCTAAGTCAGATTCATATTCAAGTTCAAGATCCTACGAAGATTTATGTTGACAACAAGTCCGCAATTGATTTGGCAAAGAATCCAGTCACTCATAGAAGGAGCAAACATATTCATACTCGTTACCATTTTTTACGAGACAATGTTGAGAAGAACGAGATCGTGTTGATTTATTGCAAGTCTAGAGATCAAGTTGCGGACATCCTCACGAAACCTTTAAAGTTTGAAGCATTTGTCAAGTTGAAGCACATGATGGGAATGAAGACCTTACAGAATTAGGATTAAGGGAGGATGTTGAAGTTAATACTATATATCGTTATACTATAATTCTATTATGAAACACTTTGTAAAGCATTTAAATAGGCATTCATACATCCTTCAACCTAAAAGAAAAATAAAAGACAGGGGCCGAGTATTGTAGCTACAGTAACCGAGAGTTAAAAATAGCTTTTCTATTTGCTTCTCCCACTAAATCTCTCCTCATATATATTACACTTCTATTTGATTTGTTGTTGATTGCTCCAACAAGTAAAACATTTTAGCATTCTATCTAACAAACAGTAAATATGTTTAGAGATCAACAAAACCATGTATTAAACCCCCACTGCTAACCTTTACGGAATTTATCTATATTAGCTTTGCCGGTGTCACTTCACGTTATTATACAGGGGAAGAGAGAAGCAACAATCCTAATCCCCTCCTCTGAGGAGCCTCTTGTCAATGTTAAGCATCAAGATTTATCCACACTTCTTCCAAACCCAAAATAAGAAAGAAAAAGAAAATAAATATCTGCAGAGCAACAACATTACTCGATGACCTAGTGATATCGAACTCGAAAAAGAAAATACGTACTCTGTATGATACGGGTGTATCTTCTCTTCGGAACTTAGCGATCATCATGGGAGCTTGAGGATAGATGATTCTCATGATAGCATGAGAATAGAGGTGTCAAACAGTACAAAGGAACGCAGGAGGAAGCGTGGAACGAGACGACGAGCAGAAGAATCGAAGTATCCAGTTTTCAGCCTGTGAGTCGACTCATAACAGTCATGAGTCGACTCATCAGCTTGAGTCGACTCATGACTGTCATGAGTCGACTCATCGCTGGTTTTTGAGTTTTGTCCAGTTTCGGACGAGTCGACTCATCTCAGTCATGAGTCGACTCATCGATGGTTCCCTGGTTCGTTTGGGTTTCTGTTCACACGAATTCCTGTTGGTTTTGGGTCTGGTTATTTACCAAATTGTCATCCACGTTTGTACACCTATATAAAGGATTGTTTTAGGGTTTCTAAACAATCAGAGGAGATTAGATTGTATTAGAGAATTGGGAGAGATTGTTCTTCAATTCTAGTGAGATTGTGAGAGATTGTAAAACTATTTTTATTCTCATAATCTAAAGAAGGTATTTTCTTTCGCCACAACTGAATTGTTCTTGTGATTCTTATTATTTTCTCCTCGACCCACCTTTGATAATTCCGCGATCAAAGGTGCTCGCACGGCAACTCGTATCACTATAATCACTACCAATTAAAACTTGAGGCTTGCTTCGATACACCAAAAACAGGACCGACTTAAGTTTTAATTAAAAGGGTAAGTTTGTACATTCTCCTTTCTGGTTCTTCCTCCTGGCTTCAAACTGAACCAACCCGACAAATCTTTCATCCGTTCTCATGGCAACCTGGCCAACAGCAACTGATTACAACCAACAATTTTAAGTTACATTACCATTTAGAGCTTCATCCAGTTAATCAAGGTTTCACCGAGTCCATTTTCCTCCATAACCCCAGTAATGTATTTCTTCAGTTTTAAAATCATAATAGTAGTTAATTAGCTTCCATTCCTACTTAGCTTTTTTCCTTCGCCGTTGTTAAAGAAAACATAGAAACTAGATGAAAATGATAAAGAAAAGCAAAGTAAAAGACGGAGAAAATAAAAGGCAAAATCAGGTTGATGGTTTTGATTGAAGGAGCGAGAGAAGAAGAAACAGAAATGATAAGGGAGGAAGAATTAAATGAACTGGAATACTTTATGATTTAGGAATTGGGATGAATTTTTTGGGTTGTTGCTTCGTGAGAGGCACCGTATCTAGATGAAGATGATGATAGATCATAGATAACCAAATTCGTAACTACCCTTAAAAAATCAAATATTTATGAAAGTGACAGCGGATCTCCAAACAGCCACTTCAACCAAATTCGTAACTACACTTAAAAGATAAAACATTTACGAAAGTGACAGTGAAACTCCAAACAACCACTTCCCCAATAACAAGGCAAACATAGGGAGCTACTAGTACGGAAACGATTTACCATTTGTGCCATACAGCCATAGGTACCCCGAAAAATAAGTTTTTGCAGTGCCGACGCTGTTGACTTAGAATTTACTGTGGAGCTAACCTTTTTATTGACTCTCATCATGTTATCAGCAAAAACTGAAATGATAAGAAAGGCTGTTCGTATTAACTTCCAAATTTCTTTTAAGTTCCGCTAAAGCTGGTGAGAAGAGATAATCCCCTATCTTACTTCACATCCAGATTGCGACTTGCCTTGTCTCATGCTTAATGCCCTTGAGCCGACCAAGTACAAAGATGTCCAATAAAAATAAACCCAGGTGCGAGATTCGAATTTTACAAGGGAATTTATAATACACAAGGAAGCCATCATTTGCCTTCCTACAAAACTATACAACTAGGTCAATACAAAAAGGAAATCATTTCTTCAAAAGCATTGCTCGGAATTCATCATTAGATTTTGGTTCCTCGATGTTGTCTGCACCCTTTGGTTCTTTGTTACTCCCCGCAAGGGATCTAACTGCCCTGGGTGCAGCAAAGAAGGTATTCCTCCCTATGGGTTTTACTTCACTTTCACCCTCTGTGACCACAACTTTAGCAGTCCTTGAAGTGCCACCGTGTTCATTTCTGAAGGGTGCTCCTCTACCTGCATCAGAATCAAATTTATAGTTACAAGAAGGGTCGGTGAACAAATCATGTACATGAACGGTTGGCAAATAATGTCCGGAGAAGACTTAAGCATGGCAAATGTCCTACCATTGTATCAGCAGGCATAATTTTATGACATATTTCTAGTAAAAATGGGCCTGTTTGCAAATAACTGGAAATTCTAGCGCTTGTCTATAATTAAACCATGACCAACTTCATGGAAAGACATACTGCAATCTGTCTGCAGAACTTTCTATTTCAAATCCAGTACATATATTGATTAATTTCTAAATGTTGGTTTTTAATTATAAGTAAGAAGCCCAGATAAATTTGCCTTTCTTTCTTCTTATCTCAGAGCACAAGGTGGTTGTTAGCTGATGGGTCTCTCCCCCTAACCGTCCTAACTGTTGAACTCTAGACCTCTCCCCAAACCATTGAAGTACAAATAGAGATGTAAAAATATTTTGTAACCCTGTAACAACTCTCATGAGCTGGAACAAGGTCCCTGCATGGAGACTTTCCACATTTCATGGCCCAAACCACATATCCATGCTTAGAAAAGTTAAAACTAATCCAATCAGATAGCAGTCCATATTGTTAGACTAGTAGAAGGAAACACTCTCATTCTATAATTGACATCTTTAGGGCATTTTTTAAAATATGAAACTCTCTACTATAGCAGAACTGATTTCTACACTATATCACTGCTTAACCACATAACTTAAAAACGGAGTTCCTGTGACACGAAGTTCTAACAACTTCAAGTTAGAAATTTGTTTAGTAGCATAAACTTTGAAACTTAGATATGATAGATCTCCACCAATCCTCGATGTCTGTAGCGCGCGCGCGCGTGTGTGTAAACATATCATCTATACCACCAAGAACTGGTTAATGGATTGTCCTTAATGAAGGCATTGCACCTATTTGAGAATAAAATTTTGATTCTACAGCGAATCAACAGGTATTCATTCAAGGTAGGCTTCTAGCAAGGAAATGAATGTAGTGTTTACTATCAAGCTGAAGTCAAGCGAAAACTTGACTAACTATTAACCCTTGTGTGATTAGACTAAATTGTAGAAACTACCATGGGTTTCACATCATTTAACACCAAACAGTAGTTTTAGTAGAAAAAAGACAAAACTTCCCTGTAACTTTTCAAAACTACATCCATTTGTTCCATCTGTGATCTCAAATAGTTGGAGTACGAGATTATTAACGAGGCATATGTGAATCTTCTTGATTGTCCTAAGAAGAAGAGAGGTAGTATATTAAAAGAGTTTGGGAAAGATAATGCTGGTTTTCTTTATAAAAAAAGTAAAGAACATGGTAGGTTTCACCAAAAGGTGAAACATAATGGTTGTTTATGTAATATAGCGTTCTGATACTATAATCTTCATAAAACAATCTATTATTTATCATACAAAACAACATAAAACAATAGGGAATGAAGTCAGTACCACGACCCCGAGATGAATTGCTAAAAGCAGGGGCTTTTTTCTGGCCCTGCATTGGATCTGATGAAGCACTAACAGCAGGGGCTTTTTTCCGGCCCTGCGTTGGATCTGCACGTGCTATACTTAATTTTTTCCCAAGCATCTTCTGCTTGTTCTTAGCAATGGCTGCTGCTAGATGTTCCTCATCTGAAAAATCCACGTATGCAAATCCCTACAAAATTAAGAAAGAACCTCGTGAACAAAATCCAGGTTAGCTGTTGGAAAACCTACAAAGAGTTCAATGACTCCCAGAAAAAGTGATACCAACCACTGTGCAAATGGGTTTGGATGGAATAGATAGTTTTAAGAAAAAAAATGTAAAGAATTTAACAAATTTTCCAACCGTGTAAAAGTTGCACTATTTGGAGAAAGGCCATATAAAATCAAATGGATGTTATAAGCGATCGAATTAAAACCTGACATGTATGTATAAAAAAACAGAGCAGGATTCATGTTTGGTGGTAGGAGTCAAAAAGAAGACTGAGACAGCATGGGGGACTCATGAAAGTAAGCAAGGATTCAAATATGCTAGAACACTGGATTGCTCTTAATGCTAACAATCGGAAGGTTCTGGTCAAATAGAAAATGGAAGGAAGAAAAGATCAACAAGTTCTTTTCATCTCCAAGATGCAACAACAGTTGGCAACTTGATATGCTTATTTGAAGAAAAAGCAAGGTTAGACTGGTGCAGCAGCAAGAACTGTTAACATTTGATCCAATAACTTGTACATGGAATTATAAGACAGATTTTCCTTCATTATGGGTTCATGAGTTAGCAAACTAGACCTCAAACAATTCAATTGCGTATACGCAAGAAAATTTAGTATATTGTTGATGAAGTATCAGACACCACCATCAGTGCCCAAATCTTTGACAATGTCCTCCAATTACATGAATACAGAAAAGAGTAACAGATAAGAAATAATTCGCATAAATATTTTCCATATTCAGATTCTGACAAGTATGCATTTCTGTATGCTTCCATTTAGAACATACATTGATTTGGAGAGTGCTAAGTTATCCAGAAGGAAGAAAAGAATTTTGAATAATCAAATACCAGGAAATGCAGGAAAATGACCAAATGCATATAATTCTATAGTAATGAACTTTGTAATATCATGATCAATAACTACATACAGTGTTATAGAAAGTGCTAGCGGTGCTAGGTGTCAGACTGGCGCCTAAGGCCCAGATACCTAGGTGGATACCTAGGCAGATTTCTTTTTTTGTTTAAGTGGTGGTGTAGGAGGTTTCATTGTCGGACGCGTTGTTCACAATCGGTGGAGGCGGCCAAAGGAGGGCAGACAACGTGGAAATGGCAGCGGAGGAAATCACAACCAAGACCTAAGTAGTGCAGCTCGTGTTAGCAGCCCATGTTCCCTAGGTGCTCTCAAGACTTCGACAGGCAGCCTAAGTACAACTTGGGCCTTGGTGCACATCTAGATCACTTTTTAAAACATTGACTATATATGATTATTTTTTTGTTCCAATGATTATCTATCCTATATATTAAGAGACATCTGCCTTTTGGTTTGCGTGAACCACAATTTTAGAATGCCGAAAATACCCTTATCTTAGAATAAACTAAAGAAATGTCCTGACACTTGGAAAAAAAATTCCCAAAAACCTAACATATCATTCATTCTCTTGACAATTCGATTATAACGCACTCTTCCACGTTTCCCTTGACAATTCCTCTACGTCACTCTTCCACGTTTCATGTCATGCACGCATAGCGTGAACCAAGATACTAATTCAAATTAAAAAACCAATTACTGTTTACATATCCATGCAGGAATTCATTTTTATCGAACATGGTACTAAATATGACAGATTTTATTACTTGCATCCACTAGAATAAAATAATACAAATCTGGCAATACCTAAATCCACATTTTTGCATTCTGGTTATTATCCCAATAGAAAGACCTTGCTCAAAGAGATTATGAATAAAACAAAGAAGAAAAAGCCAATGGAAATGCTGTAGTGGACAGAAAAGTAATTATGAAGCAGAATATTCTTAAATCCGCTTAATCAAACTGGAAGAAATACCAACATTGACGTGATACCATTACTCAGCTCATTACAGAGGTAAGGCTACCAAATCCTCTAGCGGATCCTTCAGTATTAGACGCACAAATGAGAACAAGTGTAGTATGAGCATGGTAACTCTAATATGCAAAAGATACAGGCATAAACTCGAGACCACACTACATCTATCCATTTCCATG